CCATCCTGTTGGATGTGAAGTGACAGCTCATTATGGTTTTGATTAGCATCTTTTTATGGTGCATAGTGGCCATTTGTATATCTTCTCTAGAGAACTATCTATTCAGATTCTTTGCCCGTTTTTAATTGGATTATTTGTCTTTTTATTGCTGAGCTGTAAGAGTTTTTTATATATTCTAAATGGAAATCCCTTATCACCTATATGATCTGCAAATATTTTCTCTCATTCTTTGAATTGTCTTTTCACTTTCTTGATGGTGTTCTTTAAAGTACAAAAGTTTTTTGTTTAGATGAATCCAATTTTATCTATTTTCTTTCCTTTGGTTGTTTGTATACTATTGGTATAATATCTAAGAAACCATTGCCAAATCCAAGGTTATAAAGTCTTATGCCTATTTTTCCTCTTTCTTTTAAGGGGTTTTTATTTTTAGCTCTTACATTTAGGTCTTTGATCCATTTGGGGTGCTAGTTTTAACTCTGTCCATTGCTTTGTGACCTTGGACCATTCATTTGCCTTTTCTCAGCCTCACTTTTTCATCTGTAAAATGAGGAGTCAGTTTATTTAGCTAAATTTATGGTTACTTCCATTTCTAAAATTCTCTTATCTGTGGTTTGTGAAATGATACAATTAATTGGAAGCCCTTTGAGAAGTATGAGGTACTTTCTGAGTGTAGTTGAATGTTATCTTTGTAAAATATATGTGTAAAATATATATATTGAAATACTGTTTTTCCTGAATAAAATGTGCTTCTGAATGAATGGTAGCATGTAACTATTTAAATTTAAATTAATTAAAATTAAACCGAAAATTCACTTCCTTTATACCAGCCACATTTTAATTGCTTAATAGGCACATGTGGCTAATGGCTACTATTACATTGGAAAGCACAGATATAAAATATCTCCATCATTACAGAAAGTTCTGTTGGGCAGGACTGCTCGAGACTCTCCATCTGGAAATAGATGAAGATACAGGAAATGTGCAGCCCGGTCTATTTTTATGATTATTATGCTTTTTCTCAACAGCTCATTTTAATCTTATCTGAAATAAGAATAATAATAATGTCCAGTTATTTAGTGTACGAGGATATGTGCGTGTGTCTGTGTATGTGTATGTGTATATTCCTTATAATAACAGAAAACAGATCAGTGGTTGCCAAGGGCTGGGAATCAAGGGGAGAGTATTGATTACGAAGGTATAAGAAAACTTTTTGGTATGATGAAAATACTTTCTTTCTTGATTGTGGTGATTTTTGTACAACTGAATATATTTTTCAGGGCTCATAGAACTGTATACCTAAAAGGGGTAAATTTTACTATATGGAAATTATACCTCAATAAACCTGTCATTAAAAAAAAATACCTTTACAAAGTATATGCTATTCTTTTCCATTTTGGGGTTAGAGAAAACTGAGACTCAGAAAGGTTAAGGGACTTACCTGTGGTCCCACAGTTGGTATGTGGCAGTTCCAGGATTTGAACCTAAATCTGCCTGATTGTAGCACTTGTGATCTTCCTACTCATTTTTAGCTTATCCCTGAAACTACTGAGAGTGTATAGATTCTGTCATAAAAGGCTGACCTTCCTTTAGAAGCTGGAAACCCTATCTGCCCTCGAGTAGCTCCCCAGAAGTGACTGTCATGTCCTTATTCCAAAATTCGAACCCCTGGCAAATCTCATTTCTGTCAGTCATTAGTTGGGATTGGAATTGATGTTGCTATGAAGTGCTGCCGCAGGCATGATCTTGTGTGTGTGTGGCCCTCATTTTTGAGCAGCAGGATACTAGTTTCAAAGCTGACGAGTTTGTTTGATTATGAAGAGCAATTTCATACTTGATCCAATCAGCAACACAGAATACCTTCTCAGTAGGAGAGTTCTCAGATGTTTACAGGGCCAGTTGTGCTGCTTAGCACTTGTCTTACTCCATTTTGTGCTGCTATGACAGAATACCACAGACTGGGTAATTTATAATGAACAGAAAGTTATTGGCTCACAGTTTTGGAGGCTGGGGAGTCCAATATCAAGGTGCTGTCATCTGGCAAGGGCCATCTTGCTGCATCATCTCATGGAGGAAGAGAGGAAGGGCAAAGAGAGGGTGAGAGAGAGCGAGAGGGGGCAAAACTCATCTTTTCATAAGGAACCCACTCTTGCTATAATCAGCCCACTCCTGCAATAATGGCATTAATCCATTCATGAGGGCAGATCCCTTATGGCCTAATCACTTCTTAAAGTTCTTACCTCTAATACTGTTGCAATGGTGATTAAGATGGTAACACATGGACTTTGGTGGACACATTCAAACCGTGGCAACACTTTAACAGTCTTCCTCACCTTGGCTTATTAGGCAGAGAACCGGTTGAATAGAAGTGAGATCCAAGGTAGGGAAAGTGTACAACCATCAGCATCATTATCACATCATCACTGTTTACATCTGCATGTCACTTTACAGTTTGCAACTTATTTTAATGTCTGTGATCTCTCTTAATTCTTTCAGTACCCTGTGAGGAGAATGCTTATATTTAGAGAGTTATTTGAGTGTATTCTCAAGCTATGAGAATATTTTTTCCTTGTGTTGAGCTGAAATATATGTGCCTCCTTTAATTTTCATCCTGAAGTTGCTCTTCTTTCAATTCATTGTGGACGGTAGTTTTATCTAGCCTCTTGCCCTGGGGTGGTTTGCCAGGGCAGCACATTGGATACATTTCAGGAAGTTCTATCCTCTGAAATGGACCAGTGGCATTTTCCCTTTTGCCTGTCTGATGGCCCCAGCTTCCTTTCCTTGGGAGCTCGTATTTTCTCCACCTTTTATTCCAGAACCCTGGACAGACTAATTAATCACAGAGCAGTTGTCATCAAGCCAGCTGTTCACTGCCTGCCTTCTACATTTGACTTGTTTCCTGTCTTGAGGTGCTACAGGAGAAGTTAATGGCCTAAAAAATTGCCCATCTATCATGTGAACCTAGTTAGGAGGGAATTGTTTGGTTTGTTTGAAGTATAAATAGTATATTTGGAGGCACGTTTTCAAACATGTGCCAGCCTATGTGTAAGAAATGGCTCCCTAAACAAGGTGGGACCAATTGGCTAGCTAATAGAATGTAATGACAGATTTTCCATTAATCATAATGAAGAATGTTCTTCATTAAGATAATTAACAAAGCACTTGTGCAGGTGATACTTATTGCACAGAAATTTCCAAGTTTATTTTTTGCTCTTGAATAAATTTGGAAAGATATCCTGGCTACATTTCCTTGTTTGCATTAAAAATGATTAGGGGCAGTAAATTTCTCCCCCCTTTTTTAAAGCTGCTAGTAACTGGTATTTTGTCCTCTGCAAGTGCAAGGAGCAGATGAGACACTTGCTGTGTTTCCTTCCAGCAGTCTGTGTGCTCATCACCAGGCACCTTGGCTTCCTTAGTGAACTTAGAAGTGCATTCTTTTCCAGCTCTTGTACTTGCATCATTAGAATTAGACGGGACCTCAGAGATCCTAAACTAATCCATTTTACTTCAGGATACTGAAGTCCAGAGAAGGAAAGTGACTTGGCCAATGAATGTCACACAGTACTGTGGTGGCAGAGCTAGCTTTGGGATAGTGAGACTAACTGAACTGAGAGCCAAAATGCCTGGGTTGACATTAGGCAAGTTCTCTGCTCCTCGGTGTTTTCATCTGTAAAATGGGAAAAGTATCTAGCATAGGACCAAGTACAAACGAATGGGCTCTTTATTTTGATTTGGTCTTCCTTCCTTCCTTCCTTCCTTCCTTCCTTCCTTCCTTCCTTCCTTCCTTCCTTCCTTCCTTCCTTCCTTCCTTCCTTCC